ACAGCAGCAAACCAGGACTGCTCTATGAACTGAGAGAGGACGCCGGAAATAAGTGAGGGTATGTCAACACTGCATTCCTCTTTCGAGAGAGGAATGCACATGTTGACATCTGAAACTGCAAATGAAGCAGGGATTTAAATATCCTTCACTTAATTTGCATAATCGCGGACAGACGCTATTTCGAAATACCTTATTTCGAAATAACAGCAAACCAGGACTGCTCTATGAACTGAGAGAGGACGCCGGAAATAAGTGAGGGTATGTCAACACTGCATTCCTCTTTCGAGAGAGGAATGCACATGTTGACATCTGAAACTGCAAATGAAGCAGGGATTTAAATATCCTTCACTTAATTTGCATAATCGCGGACAGACGCTATTTCGAAATACCTTATTTCGAAATAAAAAAATCTGTTAAGACGCAGTTATTTCGAGAGAGAACCCTTCTTCCGAAATAATCCTTAAACCTCATTTTATGAGGAGTAAAGGTTATTTTGGAAGAAGGGTTTTCTCTCGAAATAACCGCATCTTAACAACGTTTTTTATTTCGAAATAAGATATTTTGAAATAGTGGGCGTCCGCGATTATGCAAATGAAATGCGGGATATTTAAATCCCCGCTTCATTTGCAATTTCAGATGTCTACATTTGCATTCCTCTCTTGAAAGAGCAATGCAGTGTAGACATACCCTTAGGTTAGGGAATAGCAGTAGAAGAAAAGAGGTGTGGCAGGTTGACAGGAAAAGGGAGAAGAGGTGGTAGTTGTAGGTTGAATAGGAACAGAGGTTGGGGGGAGAAGAATCTGGGAGTGACATAGATAGAGAAACCAGAGGGAAGAGTGGACAAGATCTAAGTGGGAATGGGGGGTAGAAGTCAGTGATGGATAGATAGGCTAGGGGCCACTGGAGCAGAAGGGTGTATAACTACTAGAGTACACTCCCAGACAGAACCTGAAATTGAAGTCTACCCTGAGTCACTACATTCCTTTGTCGTCAGCAAATAACTGTGAATCCCACTTGCAAAGTGTGTGTCTTGTTCCCCTCTTGTGACTGGTCCACCAAAGATGACCATCTACTGCTGTTGCCATTTATTCCATTACCTCAGGTGATGTGTGCTGTGAATCTAAAGATCTGAACCCTGATCATCCATGTTGGGAATCAGTATGGTTCCATGAGATGGAAGTTTTTGCTTTTTCAGGTGTTTCTGGTTTTGTGTTTTTAATTAGGAAATTACGTAAAAAGCCCTTAGTTTGAAAATGCATTAAGATTACAAAGTCAATCACTCTAAAGTTAGGAAATGCCAGAATTAAGGTTGCCTATGTGGAATTTGTATTCCATACAGTGTTTGGAGAGTGTGTGTTAAATAAAGTCTGTGTTTACACACTGAATATGGAGAATAAAAAGAAATGTTGAGTAACTACCCATTCACTCATTGAGGCCGGGGCCATATAAAAATAGTACATGATCGCTCAGTTGATAATACCTATTCCCAGAGATGCTGAATTAAGGGTGCAAAGGCAACCTGCATTCTGACACTAACTTTAGAGTGTGTGGCTTTGCAATGTTAACCGTGTTTAATTTATTTTTTTGTGACTCACTATAACAAATAAAAAGCAATTTGAGGAAGATTTATGAGAGCACTTGTGCTGAGATTTATTCACTCTTCAACTATTCAGTTGATGGAGAGTACAAGTGGTCAAATAAGAGGGCAGCGAGTTACCAATTCACTCATATTTTTCTGCTGTCCTGAGCTTGCATTCAGATTGATCATTGCTTTTGCTGGGGCAGACCAAAGTATTGGAGAGAATTTCTTTAGAGACAAACATTTTCACATCAGTTGGTTAAAGAAACAAAGTGTGTAAGTGAGCTCTGAGATTGTAATATGATGGTAGGTTATAGTGAATATGCTTTAAGGAAACCCTATAGCATTGTACTGGTGTGGTAATTAAGATAAATGTTTAACGACTTCTTAGTTTTGGTTTTCACCAGGAAGGTTGGTGGTGACTGAATGCCTAACATAGTGAATGCTTGTGAAAATGGGATAGGTTCAGAACTTAAAATAGGAAAAGAGCAAATTAAAAATTACTTAGAAAAGCTAGATGTCTTCAAGTCACCAGGGCCAGATGAAATGCATCCTAGAATACTCGAGGAGTTATCTGAGCTATAGGCCATCACCTTTGAAAAGATATGAAAGACCAGAGAAATTCCAGAAAATTGGAAAAGGGCAAATATAGCACCCATCTATGAAAAGGGAAATAAGAACAACCCAGGAAGCTACAGACCAGTCATTTTACCTTCTGTGCCAGAGAAGATAATGGAGCAAATAATTAAGGAACCCATCTGCAAACATCTCAGTGATAATAAGGTGATAAGTAACAGTCAGCATAGATTTGTGAAGAACAAATCATGTCAAACCAACCTGATGATAGCTTTCTTTGATACGATAACAAGCCTTGTGGATAACAGGAATCAGCAGATGTGGTATACTTAGACTTTAGTAAAGTATTTGATACAGTCTTGCATGACCTTATCAATACACTAGGGAAATACAACCTAGCTGGGGCTATAAGATGGGTGCATAACTGATAGGATAACCATTCTCAGAGATGGTTCTTCATGCGTCTGATGAAGTGGGTCTCTGCCCACGAAAGCTTATACTCCTACACTTCGGTTAGTCTATAAGGTGCCACAGGACTCCTTGCCACTTTTGCATTCTCAGAGAGTAGTTATCAATGTTCACAATCAAGCTGAAAGGGAAAAACAAGTGGGCTGTGTCTACACTGGCCCCTTGAATTTCCGGAAAAGCACTGACGATCTACTGTAAAATCATCAGTGCTTTTCTGGAAAAACTATGCTGCGCCCGTTTGGGAAAAAGTCCTTTTCTGGAAAACTGTTCCGGAAAAGGGCCAGTGTAGATAGCACAGATTTCTTTTCTGCGAAAATGACGATCAGGGCTTTTTTGCGGAAAAGCGCGTCTACATTGGCAGGATGCTTTTCCGGAAAAGCATCCTGCCAATGTAGACGCGCTTTTCCGGAAATACTTTTAACGGAAAAACTGTTCCATTTTAAGCATTTCTGGAAAAGGGTGCCAGTGTAGACGTAGCCGTGGAGTTCCACAGGGATCAGTTTTGGGACCAGTTCTGTTCAATATCTTCATCAACAGTTTAGATGATGATAGAGAGAGTATACTTATAAAGTTTACCGATGATACCAAACTGGGAAGGGTTCCAAATGCTTTGGAAAATAGAGTAATAATTTTAACTAACCTAGACAATCTGAAGAAATGGCCTGAGATAAATAGGATGGAGTTCAATAAGTACAAATGCAGAGTACGCCACTTAGGCAGGAACAATCAGTTTCACACACACAGAATGGGAAGCAACAATCTAGGAAGGAGTACTGCAGAAAATGAACTAGGTGTCATTGTGACCACAAGCTAAATATGAATCAACAGTGTTACACTGTTGCAAAAAAAGCAAGTATCATTTTGGGATGTGTTAACAGGATTGTTATAAGTAAAACATGAGAAGTCATTCTTCCCCTCTACTTTGTGCCGATTAGGCCTCAACTGAAGTATTGTGTCCATTTCTGGGTACCACATTTCAAGAATGATGTGTAGAAGTTGGAGAGGGTCCAGAGAAGAGCAACAAAAATGATTAAGGTCTAGAAAACATGAACTATGAGGGAAGACTGAAATAATTGGGTTTGTTTTGTTTAGAAAAGAGACGACTGAACGGGGACATGATAGCAGCTTTCAAGTACCTACAAGGAGGTGGGAGAAAAAATATTCCTCTTGATGTCTAATGATAGGACAAGAAGCAGTGTGCTTGGATTGCAGCAAGGGAGGTTTAGGTTGGACATTAGGAAAAACTTCCCAACTGTCAGGGTGGCTAAGCACTGGAACAAACTGCCTAGGGAGATTATGGAATCTCCATCACCGTAGATATTTAAGAGCAGGTTAAACATCTACCAGGGATGATTAGATGGTGCTTGGTCCTCCCATGAGCGCAGGGACTGGACTTGATGACCTCTCGAGGTCTCTTCCAATTCTAGTATTCTGTGATTCTATTGAGGCTAATGTTATTACTCATAAGTAGTTCTAGCCTAGTGTGTGCCAGGAAAAAACAGAGTGCTCCTAAGTGTTTTGCAATCAATCTGGAAACTACTTGCAATGTTTACTATTTTTTACTCCAGGTTCAGTCTGGTAAAACATGTGAAAGTAGAAAGAATTATACTGTAAAAAAAAGATGAATTGTGCTGTAATAATTGAATAAGTTGAAGGAATTCTGTTTGTCTTTTTAAGAGGAAGAAGAAAAGTATGTTAATGTTGATTGTAGGTATGCAGATCAAGGTGCTAGCCAATTTGGGCCTGAGTTTAACAGGAAAAGAAACATTAGGTGTTAGACAGAAAGCAATTCCAGATAATCAGGGAGATATAGCCAGGAGATTGCTGTGTGCTTGATATTGAAATGAAGATACTTAACCACACTAATAATGTGAAGTTTTGCCACACACTTTGATCTTGTTAACTTGGCCTTTTGACTGTATAAATCAAGGGGTTTGAACCTTGTACGGAGCTCACATTTTTCTGGATGCATTTTAGCAAAGCTTTGCTGAAATAAACCGAGCGGTCTGCCAAATCTGTGAGTCCTGTCTGACTTTGACAAACATTACATTACAGTCATACCTTGTTCTTTAGAATAGTTCACTTTCTACAGCATTACTTCAGATTTAGATGCATATTATTCAGATAAAAATGCTGTGTATATCATGTTGTACATAGTGTAATACAGACCATTATTTCCTCATATGCTTGATGTGGACTGAGTTACAACTTTTGGATCTGGAAAAATAAACAACATTTTTGTTGCAGGACTTATAATTTCTCTACAGCTTCTTCGTGGGGACATGGAGCAGATTCGAAGGGAGAACCCCATGATATTTAACAGGGGGGTGTCTGTTACCAGAAAACTTGGTTTCCCTGATGTCATAATGCCAGGTAGGCATATCTCCTCTAACCATAAAGTTCAGATGCTACTGTTCATAGTCCTGGACTTTTCCAGATTACGAATTCTAGATTGCAGTAAAGCATACCTTATTACTACTTTGAAGTATTTTTATTGAAGCAGTACAGAACCGAATTGAAATGTATTACATTAACATACATAATATGTATTCAAAGGTGACTATGTTGTTTGTTTATTAGAAATCCCCTATATAGTTTCAGTGAAGGTCTCTGTGTTTCAGAATCACAGAGAGTTATCAAACCTTTTTCCCCTGTAATAAAAAGCCTGCGGAGCAGGAAAGTTTCCACATTGTGGAGCAGATTCTCAGGTTTAATACAACCCTTCATCATTGTTTGACAGTGCAAAGTATGTGTGAAACTGGCCTAATTCCCCACGTGGTTCTACAGAATACTCAGCCCCTCCAACAGATGTCTTGGCCACAGCCCTGTAGCATACTAGCTATCCCTAGCTACAAGAACAGCCTCTTGGATCCATTGTCTTCTGGGCACAAATTACAGCAGCCTTGAGTCTACAGAGCTGACTTTGGGGCCAAACTAACACATGGCCAATCCTATAATTAATAGGCATGAAAGTTGGCGCCATATGGCCTGACTCATTCAGTGTAATGCGAAATTGGCCAAAAAGTTACCTGTCAAATTGAAATGCCAATCTCTTACTTCTCGTTACCAATCAGACCCAAATAAGGAAATTTTGTGATCAGTGTTTAGAGGAAATGTTGGATATCTGTAAAAAAAACTGTGCTGACATACTAACATCTTTCATGCAGTCTCAAAAAACCGTCCTTTCAGAAACCATAGTGAAAAGGGCAGCAGGGGTTATATGGGAAGTATTTTTAAGACAATCTAGTGTAAATGGTGTGATCAGATGTTTAGAACTGTATATATTTTAACACTCTTGAAAGTATCAGGAGTTCTTGCTTTCAGATGGGTATGTGTATAGCAGGTTCACACTTTCTACAACAAAACAAACTACTAGAGAAAAAATTAAACACTTGAGAAACAGAATTTTGTAATATAAGCTAACCTTTAAAATTACATTGGGTGTGTGTGTGAGAGAGAGGAGGAGGAGGAGGACATAGGGATCTTAACCTCCAAATTCTATATTTTAATAATAACCCTGGGAATTAAAAAAGAAACCATTTCAAATTAAAATGGTGTTTTTCTGTATTTTTGTGACATAAATCTGAATATTGCTAAAGAAATGGCATTAGTTGGCATAAATCTGAATTTTTTTTTAGTGAATTTACCAAAGAATTTTTTCGGCCTAAGAGCATGTCAAAGAATTTCACTTATTTGGCTATATTCTAAACCTATATTCTACAAGCAACGCCCAATGGCATGGTAGTACCCCATCATACTACAGTCTGCTATTCAAGAGATTGTGTATCAGAATAAAATTACAACTCCTATTCAGTGAATTGCTATGAGTTGATATTAGGGCCACACTTTTGAAATTTCAGTTCTTAAATCCATATTTAGACACCTGCATAAACTGGCCTGATTCTCCTTCATAAATTGCTCATATGGATCTTTACTCTTGGGTATGATGAACTGCCCATTGTTGAAAAAAAACAACAAATGGTCTGGTAGCACTTTATAGACTAACAAAACATGTAGATGATATCATGAGCTTTCGTGGGCACAGCCCACTTCTTCAGATGACCGGAGTTACCCTTGTTGGTTCCTTCAGTCCGGTAAAGGTATAGAAAGTTCAAAGAATAGCTCAGTATCCTCAGTGCTTCCCTCATTGTTTTTCCTCTTCCTAGGGCACTAGCCCTGCTCTGAGTACTGTCATAAAGTGAGATTGCCCATCCTCCTCCATGCCTCTCCTCTTTTAGACAGTTCGTTTCAAAAGGGATTGAGGGGGAGCAAGGGCCGCCCCCAGTCTAAGCATAAGAGATTTCCTCTCTAATAGGATCAAACCAGTCTACAAATCTTCTAGACCAGGGATGGGCAAAACACTGTCCACAGCCAGATCGGGACCATCAAACATTTTTCTCTGGGCCACCATGACCCTTTGGATGAGGCCAGAGAAAAATGTCCCATGGGGTGTTCTGGCAGTCTGCCTGCTGTGGCTCCGGCCACACCACTCCTGCAAGCAGCTGACTGCTGCTAGCAAGCATGTCTCTGTGTCTGCCCCCCCCCCCCCTTCCACAGTGCACAGAGACAGATATTCCAGTGGTACGGCAGCTTTGAGCATCATGAAGCCACCATGGCACACAGGCAGCCTGCCTGCCTGAGTTCCCTGTTGCAGCCTGGAGCTACCTATGGTAAGCACATCCTGGTCAGAGAGTTCACCTTGCACCCCGTTCTGCACCCCAACTTTCTGTTCAAGGTCAGAACCCCACCTGAATCCAATCTCCCTCCAAGACCTGGAACCCCTTCCTGCAACCCAGCCCCTATTTGGAGCTCCCTCCTGCTCCCAAACCCCGCATCCTCTTCACTAATATAATAGAAAAGTGTGATCCTTGACCACTTACCAAAATTCTTAGAGTGGCCCTCCTGCAAAAAGTATTGCCTACCCCTGTTCTAGACTATGGCTTTTTAAAAAAAATCAGTCCATATGAGTAAGATTATGGATACACTATCGCTGTGACGTTTCTGGTGTTCGGCCACTGGAAAACTAAAATGTAAAGCTGCTTCTACAGAATGCCTTCACAGTGTTTCCATCATTGAGATATGCAAGGCTGGTTCTTTCAGCTTCATATTCATCTGTATTCCTTTAACTTGGACTCTAGATCTGGTTCCCAGTTCAGGAGAGCTTGACCCGATGATGCTCCTCTGATAAACCTCCTGCTGCTCATTAATCTCCCTAAATTGGGAATCCCTATTGTCAGTTCTTATAGGAGAAAAAACAGTCACATACCAGAGTAAGTGGTTCTTTAAGGTGACAGTGGATGTGGATTCACCCTTGCCACTTCTTTGGAGTCTCTTATTAAGGATTCCTGAATTAAAAGAAGGGTACAGGGTGCAGTTGGGGCAATTATTAGTGAGTGCAGAGAGGTTGGGTGCAACCCAAACCTCATATGGCACTGAGTATTAGAAAATCCACACTTGTGCACTAGGGGTGTGCATCTCCCCAAAGTGTGGGTTTTCATGGACAGTCATCTTGAAGGACCAAAATTATTACAGTAAATAACTTTCTTTCTTTTGAGAGGTGCTGAACACCAGAACTCCATGAGATCCAGTGGCTGTAGGTGTTTTGCATATCTAAAAATTCAGTCTCTTGTTTAGGCATCTAAATATGGATTTGGGTATCTAACTTTAGGCACTCACACTTGAAAAATATGACTCGGTTATGTCAAAAATGGAAAAATCACACTGGACACCCCCTGACAACCAGTACCTTTCTCTGAAGAGTCCATGCACAGATGAGGAGTTAGGTATAGAGAAGCTCCTGACCAGAGTGTACATGGGGTAGAAAGAAAGAAGCAGTCATAAATGAAATGATGCATAATGCAAACATTTGACTACCTGGACAACTCCCCATCCACAAAATCAGGAAACTTAAAAAAAAAAAAGAGAGAATTACAGTGATGCTGATTAGCGCCCTTTCTCCTCTGGAAATACATGTTATTGCAAGTGAAAATGTGCTTGACCTCATCCATTCTGTAGCAGATATTTATCCATCTCATGCAGTTTGGCACAATTGGTAGACTCAGTTTAGACGAGGTCCAATATTAGAAAACCAGGGATAATATAAATCAGACTTGAATTAACAGAACTATGAAAATAAAGATCGCATAATCTCTGGTTCCAGTGTTAGCACTGCCAAATTCAAAAGGCTTCATTTTCAACAACTTTATTTGTATTATTGGTGATTTAGAAAAGAAATTGCTTCTTACCAACTCAAAACCTTTTGGGTGCTTTTGGTAGCTCTCAAGCATGTCCACTTGTCTCTCTTTCAGGCTGATTCCTTCTTGCTTTATTTCAGAGCTGTTGCTGTCTTATTAAAGACAAGGTTTCTTCACTCTGGAACAATTAGCAGTTTGCCCAAAGGTTTATATCAGAATCATACTCTGCAACTGAGTGCATATTTTCAAAAGGGTATTAATAACCACGTAGGGGCTGTGTCACCTAATGTTGCTCATATACACTGATTCAAACCCATTTCAAATGAATATCCTTGGCCACAGTTTTTAACATCTTTTTCTCTTCTGTTTTCTGTAATGGGTCAGCAAGTTCCTTATGCCCCCAGATGTCCAAACATTAAAATTCTAAGGTTACAACTTTTCTTCCAGTTTCTCCTCACCCTCCCTGGCTTTTTGGGTGGCATTGGTGTGAAGTTTCTTCTAGTAAGCCTCTCCTCCCCCATCAACCAAGAACCTTGACTGAAATCCAGCAGTCCTTAGGGAGCAGAGGTACTGGAACCAGTCAAGTTTTGCATATGTCCTGATAGTTGTGCAGAACATTTCTAAAGCCTCTTAGGACAACCATGTGTATTTCAGTTTTAAATGTAGAAGTTCTGAGATTTTCATTGTATTGTCATCTGGGAAAAGCATCTTGGTGAACTAAATGCTCTTGGCTACGTCTAGACTGGCCCCATAAGACGGAATAGTCATGCAAAGCAGGTAAGTCAGAATAGGGAAATCCGCGGGGGATTTAAATATCCCCCGCGGGATTTAAATAAACATGTCCGCTGCTTTTTTTCCGGCTTGGGGAAAAGCCGGAAAAAAGCGTCTAGACTGGCGCGATCCTCCGGAATAAAGCCCTTTTCCGGAGGATCTCTTATTCTTACTTTTCCTACTGAAATTAGGAATAAGAGATCCTCCGGAAAAGGGCTTTATTCCGGAGGATCGCGCCAGTCTAGACGCTTTTTTCCGGCTTTTCCCCAAGCCGGAAAAAAAGCAGCGGACATGTTTATTTAAATCCCGCGGGGGATATTTAAATCCCCCGCGGATTTCCCTATTCTGACTTACCTGCTTTGCATGACTATTCCGTCTTATGGGGCCAGTCTAGACGTAGCCCTTTTG